GTTGGACTGTTTTTGTAGCATTAAATGTTATTATCCAGTCGTCTCCATAGCGTTTGATGCGATTTAAGTCGATTTGCAGTGATTTTGCAACTTCATGAAAATTATTAACATTGTGACTGGCATGTAAGGAGCTGTCATCCGTAAAAAATAGCATTTCATTGTTGGTAACGCTACTGAGCCCATTTAGATACATTATGGCCAGCAGTGGGCCTAGGATGGATCCCTGTGGCACTCCTGCGGATAACTCACGCTGGGTGGACGTAGTTTGGCCTAGCTGGGCTACTTGTCTCCTGTCACTTAGATAAGAGTTTAGCCAATCAAGTTGTGCACCTCTTATACCAAATTCTTTATCACATTTTGCTAGCAGTCCCTCATGCCAAATCTTTTCGAAATATCTTGATATATCCAGGTAAATGATTGTGTAATCCTCACCCGAGTCTATGGCTCTATATAACCTGTGAGTTAGATAAGCAAGTTGGAGCTCTGTGTTGTGACCAGGGCGATAACCACTTTGTTTTTGTGTTAAAGGTAGTGTGCCACCTTTGAAAGATTTCCCATTTTATTTTTCCTAGGATAAGAAGCTTCTGTTTTTACCTAATATCGCAAAAAAAATCAAAAATGGGCCTGGAATAGGGCCTTTTTCGCCTAAAAGTTTTTCGGTTTTTAGATATGTATAACAACTGTAGTGGGCTGACCTGCAAACAGGCGTCGGCAACAATCGCGAATGCGGCGCACATGTGACAATAAGCAAAGGTCATTATAGAGTTACGACGTACGGGAATGAGTTATCAGCTGTCTAATCGTAGACAACACAATGTCGAGCCTTAAACTGTAAGCCTGTATTGGTATTGTTTCTTTTATTTGGCTGTCGAACATTATTTATGGTTTGAAATATGATTTTATGTAAAATAATTAATATGAAAAAGCCGTCTCTTAAGTTATGACCGCATTTCACCACACGCAAGTGGCAGAAATGACAATGATCAGCTGACGCATTTTTCTTGGCCGAAGTCAGAGCGCGCGGCCCGACGCACCACCACCGCACCACAAAGTATGAGCAGAAGCCGCGCCCAAAGCCAGGGCCCCGGTAACGTGAGGTAGCCGAGTCGGGGCAGCGTGCGCTGACCCAAGCCGGGGCCGCAGCTTTGGGCGCGGTCTACCGCATCCCCGCGGGCAGCCCCGGGCTATCACATGACACCGGGAGGACGCGCGGCCCCGGCTTGGGTCAGCGCACGCTGCCCCCACTCGGCTACCTCACGTTACCGGGGCCCTGGCTTTGGGCGCGGTCTACCGCACCACCTAACAGGCGTGTTCGAAACCGCAGGAGATGATGATGAACGGGTTTATCGAAACTTGATTGGATGAGCATATCGGTAATAGCGATTTCAGTGTGTGCATTTATTGTTCATAGTGGTGTGAAATGTGGTTGGGGTACGACCGACAACCCGTCGGGGCGAATTTCGCACTGGGGTACTCAAAATTTGAAGAATTTAAGACGTTTCCATGAGTTTTGAAGGTATGGATAAGTTCTAAAAATCCGGTTCTCCTTATCTGGGCCATTAACTCCATACGGTCCAGGAAAGCTGGCACACTACCTTTAACCCGCGCCCTGGTGGGGGGGGGCTATTTTTTGCCCCCCCCCCCTCCAGACTTTTCGATATATCTCCAGAACCGCTGCGCCGATCGTCACCAAACTTTCAGTACCCTCCCGGACATCAATTTTACACATGGTGACCAAAAATTTTTCCAAAGGCTATGATAGGTTGGCCGGAAATGACGTCAGAGTGACGTCATGTTCTGCCGTTTTCGACCCAAAAAAGGGTTCCGCGGGAAGAGCTGTCAGGCCTATAGCTTTGCAAATACAGAAAAATGATAAGAACATAAAAGCTGTAGAATTAACAGGGCTACAAAACTCCTATCTCGGATTTTTGAAATTTTTGGATTTTGACCCCCAAAAATCAAAAAATAGATTTTTGGGATATAATAGTCAAAAAATCCAAAAAGTTTGTTGAATTTCGCAAAAACCGGAATATATGTGATAGTCCTTACCGCCTTCCATCCACATACCAAATTTTAGATTGATACCTCTTTTTTTGGCGAAGTTATAGCGAAAAAACTGTTCAAAATTGATGACGTCAAATTTTCAAACTCAATTTTTAGCAATTCTAGACCTCGTAGTGCAAAACAAAGACCACCATTAGACTCCCCGTGACGAGCTGCATCGAATCGATACCAATTTAATGCAAAAATATCAACTTTAAAATTTGACCTTTTTTGACCTGACCTTGACCTGACCTCCATCAGAAAGTGACCTAAACCGTACCTGATGGTCTTATAACCAACACCATTGGGTTGGAAATGAAAAACTGGCCATAAAACATGCATCGCACAACCTTAGTAAAGTTGGGTTCATGGGGTGACCCTTGGTGACCTTTGGTGACCTGACCTGTGACCTGACCTGGTATGACCAGTGACCTCTAATAGCAACATATGTACTAGACAACTGACGTCTTATCGCTGATTTTCGACAAAATGCGTTTTACTCGGTGTTATAGCGCTTTCCCTAGAAGCCCCGTGAACGGTGAAACATTTTATCTTTGACCTGACCTGTGACGTCATCGGTGACCCCGAGGTCAATGAAATTTGGTTTCCCTCGACAAATTTGACAGGGCTATCGAACGCCGTTTGAATTTTGCGGATCCTTCCAGTAGTTTCGGAGATACGAGGGGGGGGGGGCAAAAAATAGCCCCCCCCCCCCACCAGGTCGCGTTATAAACAGACCCCACCAGGGCGCGGGTTAAGAGCGAATGACTGTGAATGTGCTCATATATCTGAGCGAACATAAGTTTTTCGAATATTTTCGATAGACACGGCAGTAAGCTTATTGGTCGATATGATGCAGCCTCAGATGGGGAGCCCTTCCCTTTAAAAATTGGTTTAACTGTGGCTTTCTTCCACTGAGCTGGGTACCTGCCTTTTTGGACTGATTTGTTTAAAATTCTGGATAGAGGCTCAGCAATGTAAGCCGCTGACATTTTGATTAGTTTCGCCGGTACGCCGTCGGAGCCGGTGGCTTTAGACGAATCCAGCCCATTGATGGTCTTCAAAACATCTCGAGGTGTAATGGGAGAAAACTGGAAGGTGTGTTGAGTGCTGTTATATAAACTTTACGGGTAAGTTAATTGCCGGCTATTTTATTCCGGCCCAAGAGGCAAAGCAAAGACAAGCTTTATGTTAAACCGGCTCATGTGGCGTCTGGTGGGTTGAAAAACAAAGGGCAAGCCGAAAAGGTGCCAGATAGGCGAGGAGACCGATAAATTTGGTTACTTACGTAGAACTTCCTGCTGAGACTTGCTGCTGATTTGTGTGCTGTTGTTTGGTGTGTGTGCTGTTGTTGTGCAGGGTGAACCTTTACCAGGAAAAATCCTTACTAGAAAAAAACCCTGGTGCCTGTTCAAGAGGGCAAAAACCTGTGCGTTCAGCCAAAGTACACAGTAAAAAGCCCTTTCTTTTGATTACGTTACGTTATATCACTATAGAAGTGGCATTGTATGTGGATTTGCGCGCAAGAGGAGTGCGCGGACTCACCAAATAAAACCGGTCAGTCCGGCGACTCCTCTGCGGGTTAGGGCAGCCGGTGTTAACCGGGTGCCACCAGCCATGTCCCTCCTGCCTTAGGGGTAATCAACGATCACCCCACTCGTGCATTAAACCCATTAATGCATCCAAAACCATGCGTTAAGTGATGATAATGCCTAGGATATCGAGGACGCATACATTTTAGAAGAAGGCAAAATCCATATTGCCTGGCTGAAAGCTGCAAACAAATATGTTTAAAGGAACTTTTTCGATTTTGAACGCTTACGATCCTAAAGCTACCGATTGGCTGTCACTGACGGATCGGGGGGGGGGGGGGGGCGGTGGAGGATGGAATAGGGCCCTTGGATCCTAAAACGACGAAAAATAACCATTTGCCTCGATTAGAATAACCTTGTTTACAGTGGAAAAAGTGAAAACGAAAAAAAAGTGTTCAGAGTTTTTTTTTAGTTAGAAAAAAGATTTTTTGAGAGTATGCTCCCGCATCATCCAATAGCGCCTTTCTAGATCCACTAGTGTGCCGACTACCCTGTTTTTGTTTTCATAGATTTATTCATGAATCAGTCAACAATAAAACAAGAAGTAAGAGAAATAAAAAGAAGTGAACTGTAAAACGAATAAAAATGCCACAGCCCGTGAGCTTAATGATGTAGGACTTAAATGTACTTAGGACTTAGGTACGGTGAGCAGCTTTGATAGATCATTGCAAATTTCTTCGCCAAAGCGTGCAGAAAACTGGCCACTGGTAATGTTGGCGGCGCTGCGGGGTCCTATTTCCCACAAAAAGTTGCCTATGTTTCCGAATGCTTAAAGGATTTTGTTGCCTTATGCGCGATTACTGGGTGCTGCAAAAGGAACAAATGCCCTAAATTCACTCTTGAAGTCACCAATGACGCTCAAATGTATTAATTCGAGACGCCAACCGTAGGGCAAGGGGCGCCGATCCTTATCGCCTGAATGGTCACACTGTGCCGGATGACACTCCTGTCTCGCGGCACAGTGCGACGAGCCAGGCGATAAAACGGAAGACTGCATTGCTGCATAGGACAGTAACACCATGCCGCGTCTCTGCCCGCTATCAGGACCGGCTGAAGGAAGGCTGGCATAGCTCTGCGGTTGGTTCCGAAGTTCGTAGCATATCCGGACTGCTATCGGACGGAGCCGGGCCGCGGAGCCGATTGCCGAACTCCACAAAAACACAGCCGACTCGCCATTCGAGGAGCGACTGTCGCCGCCGCCTCCCTGGGAGCTCTCGCAGTCTGTGCGGGGCGCAGCGGCGGCCAGTGCGCAGCGGCCGGCCGCGCAGCAGGCCCCGCCCCGGCGCCGCCCATTGGCCGGCGCGGCTCCAGTTACCATAGCTGCGCGGCGCAGCCGGCCGGCGAGGCCCCGCCCCCGGCCGCGGCGGTCGCCGCCGGCCGCCGCCGCCGCCGCCAGCGCAGTGACGCCGCGGTGCTGACGGTGATAGGGCGCGCGCGCGCGGAACGCCGGAACGGCATACGGGCTACCGGGAGACGGGGAGAGCGCAGGGGCGCGGCGAGAACGGGAGCAGTGCGCTGAGGAGCAGGGCACCTCACCAACAGACACCATGATAACGTGCTGTGCGGCGTGCGACAAGCCCATTCTGGACAAATTCCTGATGAATGTTTTGGAGCGGACTTGGCACGCGGACTGTGTGCGGTGTTTCGACTGCCACGTCAACCTCACAGACAAGTGCTTCAGCCGGGAAGGCAAGCTGTTCTGCCGGGACGACTTCTTCAGGTGAGTGTCGGCTGTCGGCCGCCGCCGCCGCTGGTGTCACGTGTTTGACGGCGATCGGCGCGCCGCTCGCATGTCGGCCGTTCATTTGGGGGCGGTAATGTATTCCGCGAAGTGTGTGGTTATTCAAGGCGAGGATGCCGTTTATCAAGCTAAGTGGTTTGATGTGAACAGCCGCAGTGTTGGCTTCGCACGGCAGTTCCAGCGATCGGCGCCGGCCGCCGTTCCGGAGAGGCTGCCTCTCTCAGTCTCGGGTGATTTGTTTCCTGAAATGGCCGCGGCGCCCCGGCCGCTGTCGTGTCGGCCGCTCGTCTCCGCTCTCCCGAGGGTGTGGGCAGTCGCCGGAACTTCCAGCGATCTCTGTTTATATGATCTATGACATCGCTGAGATCTCTGTGAAATGATCGCTGCTGATCTCCAATATTTAGGTATCTCGGTCGGCACTATCTACACGGTTGTATGCATAACTCCCATATCGGTTCTCCCGGCCCCAGACAGTCCGTGTCAGCCGGCAGAAGGTCGGCAGAGCAGAGCAGAATTGGTAACCCACCTGACGCCTGGAGAACAGCTTCGCGCGGCCCGCCTATACGGCCGACAGGCAGCGCTGGGGACCCGCCAATGACATTTCATATGCGGCGACCGGCGCCATAAATAACAGCCAAATTGCAGGCAAAACAGTCATGCTGGGTGGGCGGGGACATTCTCATGACTATTCATGCCATTCCGTTTGTTTGTGGCCGTGTTTTCCGTCGCCCATTTGGCCGCGTGTGCCGTGTTCGGTTGTTTACTGCCGGGGGTGGCATCCGTTCCGCGGCGGCTGTGCGCTGTGCTGACCGGCGCGGCGGCTGTGACCCGGCTGCTCCCTCCCCGGCGCGGCCTGTGCTGACCGGCGCGGCGGCTGACCCGGCTGCTCCCTCCCCGGCGCGGTCCGTGCTGACCCAGCAGCACACAGAGTGGTGGTTGTGATACCGGCTCGATGGGAACGCCGCGAGCCGTGCCGCGCGCGACATCAGAATGAATCAGAGGCGTGACCGGAGCCAAAACACGGCCCGCGGCGCCGCACAGCGCGGACACCACGTCAGCGGGGTCCGTCTGCTGCGCGGCCCGCTGGCCGGGCGCCGAGCACGGCTGAGCGCGGCAGAGTCCAGAGAAACTCAGCAGGGCCGAGGGCAGACCGCGCCGAGCACGGCTGAGCGCGGCAGAGTCCAGAGAAACTCAGCAGGGCCGAGGGCAGACCGCGCCGAGCACGGCTGAGCGCGGCAGAGTCCAGAGAAACTCAGCAGGGCCGAGGGCAGACCAGGCACAGGCGCCTGATCACAGCAGAGGGCGGACCGGACACCCGAGGCCTGAGCACAGAGCACGGTCGCCGGGAACTGAGGACTGCACAATTTCGGACGGTGATGGAAATCAGAGAACCTGGCGCTTTGCAGTAAGCTGGCGTCGTTCTACGCTGGCTGGCGCAGGCGGTCCAGTTTTTTTTTTTAAATAATTTTGGCTATAATTTATTTGGTTCCTGCATGTTGTGTTGACTTTTTTGTCGTAGAAGCTTGCGCAGAGGTGTAATTATGCTGTACCCTGCTGGGCAAGAAACATTTATATGTGATGAAGGAAGTGAAGCTGGACAGGGTGCAGGCCGTAGGCGTTGAACCTCTATTGTTTTCCTGAACTAATCGTTTGTTGTCACGTGTGCTTTTAAGATGCAAATGAAATATTTATTCATGCGAGCGTGAGAGGTGGTTCCCCTTGCATGGAATCCTTTATATAAGCGTTTGCAAGCAAAAGTGTATGCAAACAAAAACACACGGTACCTCCCTGACATTTTTAATGTTGTCGCCGATTTCCGCACATTTCTGCTGAACTCTTCCCCGTGTCGGATGGTGCATAGTCTTCCTCCCCTATTTACTACGGCGTTGTCGGCTCCGTCCCTCGGTATCACGCCATTTCCCTCCATCTTGTGCCGCTACCAGTGTCGGTACGATCCGCCGGTGTCGGTACGGACAGCCGGGCCGCGGCCCGTGCATCGGCGCGGTCGGCCACGCCGGTCGGCCGCCCGCCTGCCGGGTTTCCCGCTCCGGCGCGACGGACGGCGCGCGCGGAGCTCCCCGCGGTCAGCGCGGCCGAGGGAGTGCATGGTGACCAGCCCGGCGGAGCTCCCCGCGACCAGCGCGGCCGAGGGAGTGTAGTGACCAGCACGGCGGGTTACCACCGCGACAGCTAGTCTCTGGAAATGGCCGTATATTAGAGGGTATGTTGGATTGTGACGTTGATGTGGACTATCCGTTCCATGGCGTTTCCTTAATTCGGATTAAGTTTGTTATTGCGATCCCACATCAATATCTGCACCCACTAGTTTTTCCCATCCGCTAGTTATTTGCGATCCTGTTGGCACTCATCAACTGGTGGCTTCCTACATGCCGAGAAGCCTCGTCTACAAGACCCGATGTGGCTTTTTGTGGGATAATAAGATATCCTAAACAAACTGGTGGGGAGGATCGGCCGTCCAGCTGCAGTGCGGTGGAACTAATGACGAGCGTCGGCGCCTCAGCCGGCCGAACCTGCCCATTTGGGGGCGGGCCGGGCGCCACTTTGGTTCCTGCTCTGACCACAGACTGGTGCCCCTGTCGGCGGCCCGCCGCCCCTGCTCGGGCCGCGCACGGGAGCCGCAGACGGAGCCAGGAGCGGCGGCCGGCGGCGGCCCGTCTGCCGTTCGTGACCACTGTCAGTTACGGAGGGACTGCCCGGGGCTGTACCGGGGTACCGCCGGCGGCGCCCCGGCACTTCACTGGGGTTATAGCCGGGGCGACGGTGCCGCCGCCGCTCCCACACGGTGGCGGGGGTGTCAAGAGCCCACCTACACCTCCGGGGATGGGTCGCACGCAGAGGAGCGGCGTGGTGTCACTGGGGAGATACGCGCCGGGCCGTCCACTGAAGATGTCCGGTCTAAACTCTTGGTCTGAGCGGTGGTGGTCCGACTGGGACCAATGACCATCAGACGATAGTCGCTCCCAACACTCCGCGTCAGCGAATTACCAGCTGCTGTCACTGAACATATGGTCCACCATGACGTAATCAATAACGTGGTGGTGAATTACCTGTAAACGGCCCTAGAATAACAGTATTTCAATAAAATCGCCCTCCATTATGGCTCATCAAAGAGCGCGTGTGAGCCGGTAATGTCGAAACAATGTACATTTGGTGCGGCCGAGCCGAACTGCTGGACCGCTCCTTTTGATCTGTCCGACGGAGGTGTGAGGAAGTAGATACGGCGGACGACAGAGCGAGAAAAAACAGCAGCAGGGTCGTGCGAACCGGCCGCCGGCCACGATGGCCAGTAATGACAGCAATTCGTCCGGTGGCTGTGGATTTAATGACAGCGTCCCGGCCGTAAATGGCTAATTGTTGTATCTGGGCGGCGGCGCGGTGTGGCGCGTCCTCTCCGGTACGCGTCTGGTTCCCCGGACCCGTCTGTCTGCTGGTACGGTGCCTCCGGTACCGGAGCGGTACGGTGCGGTGGTGGGACCAGCTCTGTGGACCTTCCCTAAACAGCAGCCGTCTCTGAGGAGAGAAGTACCCACACCTACACCATTTGTGTAGCAAACACGGCGAGCTGTGAGCCAGTGAAAAGCGTCATAACGAACGTGTAAATATGTAGACATATAGGCGGCGGAACGGGGAGGGCACCGGGGCACCGTGCCCCCCTTTGATTTTGGCATTTAACATTAGCCCTATGGGCGTATTGAAGTTGTTTAATTGAAGGTGTTCCGCCGCTACTGCATGTAGAGTTTATATTTCAACCCGCTCAAGTGGACTTGTTACGTCTGTAATCTGTAATCTGTATGATATTCAGTCCCATTGGAACGGCACAGGGAAGAAACTACTAAAATAAGCACAGCAGTTAAATACAGAAAAAAATAAATGGTGTTCGAATAAGTGAAGTTAATTGAACTTATTTATGCTCGTGTTCAAATCATTTGAAACATGCTTGAGTGCAGACAATTTCTATGATTCAAGGCCTCAAGGGTATTTACAAAGACTGATCATTTATTGAGTTTTATTGAAATAGCATATCCTCTGTGGACAGTCATATTTCACTGGTGGTCCGACGCCGCACATTTGCCCGCCATTCCACCGTCCGAGTCTCTCCGTCGGACCGTTCGGCAGCAGTTCCGACGCACCACCTCCAACACCCGCCCGTTCGCACCGTAAATTCAGCCTAAATCTTTTCCGAACAATTAAATCAGCGCCCATTAGCGGGGCTGGGTGTCGCCTAATATAGAGTTAGTGCGCCGGCTGTCGACGGCCCGACGGCTCACCGAGGCCGCTGGAGCTGAACGGGGCTGCTGCAGCTCACCAGGGGCTGCTGGAGCTCACCGGAGCTGCTGGAGCTCGTTGGCAGCCATGCTGCCTCGCGATGAGTCGGCACCCGGGGCGTCCGCCGCTGAAAGTGACAGAATTACGAGTCAGGGGGAGCTGCGGCGGCCGTGAACGGCTCCGGGACTGAGCCGCGCAGAGACCGGTGGCGGCGGCGGCGGCGGCGCGGGGTCGGTGGCTCGCTCCGGCCGCCACCTTCAGAGGCCGCCGCCGCCGTGTTTACGGCAGCAGTGAGCCGGCACAGAGAGCATACCACACGACAGGCGGGCGCAGAAGGGCCCAAAAGGGGGACTGAGCAGCTGACGGGCCGGTCCCGTTACCGGCAAACACGCACAAAACGGGCGCCCCGCCGGCGCGGCGCGCGGGCGCGGGCCGCCCGCCGCGCCGAATAGCTGACCTCCAGTCGACTGTGTCATTGGGTCAGTGTCTCCGGCGGGAGGCTTTGTGCGCGGGCCGTGTCGTCCTCGGCGCCTGGAGCCCCCCGCCGGGCCAAATGAGCAGCCATCTGCCGACCCACCTGACTGGGGAGCTCGCCCTGCGCCCGCGAGCCGCCCCTGCGCCCCCGAGCCGCCCCTGCGAGCGAGCCCCGAGCCCACCCTGTCCCCGTCACCTCCCCGCCGCATCTCGGCGCCCATCTAACCGGCAGAACAGCTGCGGCGGCCAGACCGAACGGGGTGGACCAGCGAGCTGAATTGGCCGCCGTCCGCCACCGCTGTCCTCACTCGGCTTCGGCGGCCACCGCGGGACTCTGCTCTGTTCGCTCTGTCTGTCCCAGCCTGGTGTCGGCTGCAATATAGACTATGTCATGTGCATCGTATAACTAATGTGTAATACACACTGCAAAGCTATGCGTAGCGCCGCTGTTGCTTAGCTGGGTGCTGTGGGACAGAGCCCGATCGGCCGACTCAGGCGACTTGCCCGACTCAGGCGACTCGGGTGACTCTAGCGACTCTGGCGACTCGGCTGCGCTGGCGGCGTTTCCGGGCAGGAAGTCTCTGCTCCCGAACTAACGGAGAGAAGACGCTGGCGCTCCCGGCCGCAGATTGGATCGCATTTTTGTTTAAAACTCCGCCGGAACGCCGCAGAGAACAGGGGCGAGCCGGGACGCGCGGCCGGCGTCTTTTTTGCCTGATTTCACTGAGGGTATGTGGCCGCCGCTGCCGGCCGCCGCACAATGACGGAACACGACCCAGGAATGTCGGACGACGAATATCGCCCGCTTTGGCCACATTCTGGCCGGCGCATGCCTGAAAAGGCTTGCGGTCGGCCTTTGGAGCGGCGGGGCCGGCGGCTGCTCTGGGCTGGCCGGTGTGTTCGGAGCTGCCGCCGGCCGCCACGGCCCACTGGACTCACCGGAAACCAGCGGAGAGGCCGGAGCGCGTCCACCGGCGGCCGACACGGCGCCGTCACTCCGACTGCGACCCGCGCGTGACCACCGTGTCATGGGTGTGACGGCCGTGATGCCGCCGAGATGACATCATGACCGCCACACGAGCTAGCGATCCGCAGAGGTGCACTGGGAACGTCAGAGGTGGCCGGCGGCCTGGCAAAGCGGATGTAGCTGCCACCCGGCCGCCCTGCTCGGCGGCGCTGCACAGCCGATCGGCCCCCTGACGGACAGCCGCCGCCGCCCCCGCCGGGCGCTCACCACTAATCGCCGCCCAGGTGCCCTGCCGTGCCGCCGGCACAGTCCAACAAACTAAATGCCTGTAATTTGATGGCAAATCAAAGGCAGAAGGTCCTAATTTGTCTCGGCGGCGCGACGAAAAGTGGCGCGCCGCGCCGTGCCCAGCCGCTGTTGACAGAGCCGCCTTGCGTGCCGATGATAGCCCGATAATTAAACCGTTCCCGGCCAGTTCGGAGAGCGGCGGACTTTTTGCGGCCGGCGAGGGACGCTGCAGCCATCAGTCGAGCTTTACTCACTGCCAGCACGGAACTCGTGTGCAAAACAGCCGCGGCCGCGCGGCGGAACAGCGCCCGGCCGGCGTCGTAACGCGCCGCCGCGCCGCGCCGCGCGCCCATCCGCGGGTAGCGGCAACAAGCCATCAGGGCTTAGTAAGCACGATCGGGCGTGCATGGCACCCGCTGGGGCCGGCTCGGGTCGGCGCGGGTCACGACCGGGGCGCTCGGCAGAGGAGAGTGGCGAGCGCGGCCTCCGGGCGGCGGCCTGGCCCGCCAGTCAGTCACGTGGCAGTGAGGCGGGTCACGCCGGGTCAGCAGAACAGGTCAATTAGGGACTGAGTACTTGAGGTGAATGAGAGCTCCTCCCGTGCCGCGTGGACAAGTTATCATAAACGATTGGCTCGTTTCCAGTGCTGACGCATTCCGAGTAAGTCGCTTGTTCGCCAATGGAGTTCTCCTTTCCACTGATCGGTTTCCGTGTGTTTTGGCCCACTCAATGAATCCCGGGGCCCATTCATATGCTTGATTTACGTTCCGTCCAGTGCTGCTCCCGTCAAGCCGTCGTTAGGACCGCCCCACCGATGGTACCCTTCTCGGGCGATTCGTTATGGGCGTCGATAGCGCCGTCCGACAGTAACCTAATGAATACGTGTGTGCGGCCACCGCTCACTGAGAGGCGCGGTGTGTGTGCGTCTGCCCTCGGCTCACTCAGAGGCGCGGTGTGCGTCTGCCCTCGGCTCACTCAGCAGCGCGGTGTGTGTGCGTCTGCCCTCGGCTCACTCAGAGGCGCGGTGTACCTCCGACAGTCAGCCGGGCCGTGATAGCTCTATGATCGGCCGCTCGCCACACGATGACGAGAATTTTGATTTCCCCCGGCGCGGTGATGAGATTAGTGTAAGCAGCTTACACTGGCGAGCGCAGCGCGCGCCCGTCGGCCGCTTCTGCCGGCGGCGCACCGGATTTGCCGGATCCGCTTGGAGCGGCGCGTGGCGCGTTACGCTGCTATTGACTTGAAATAATGAGACCAGAAATTGAGCCTCGGGCGGCGGCGGCCGGTGTCGGCGGCTGGCTGCGGTGTCGGCGGCGGCGGGACAGATCGGCTGGGGGTTTTATCCCGGCCTCTCCTCCTCCTCTGTCGACGTCAGCGGTACATGTGTCCCCATCTCTGCCAACAAACAAAGAGGATGAGCTCCAAATCCGCGTAACGTCATCAGCTGCGTAAAAACGGCAGCGGTGGCGGCGCGGGGCTCCCACACGGTCGACTGACTGAATGATCCGCCGCTATACCCACAGGCAACGTGGTTATACCTACCGACTGACTGTAGTGTGCGTTGTGTTGCTGGAGGGCTGGCTGCCTGGTTTATGATATTGTTGTTGCAGGATCGGGCGTGCATGATGCGGGACTGACTGTATGCTGTTTGCTGTTGCAGGAGATACGGCACCAAGTGTAACGGCTGTGGCCACGGCATCTCACCACAAGACCTGGTGCGGAAGGCGCGCGAAAAGGTATTCCACCTCAAATGCTTCACCTGCCTGGTCTGTCGAAAACAGCTCTCCACCGGCGAGGAGCTGTACGTGCTCGATGAGAACAGGTTCATCTGCAAAGAGGATTACATCAGCGGCAAGAGTATGCCAGGTGAGTGCGTCAGCGCCGCTCGGCCGGGCCGGGGTGGGGTGGGCGGCGGCCACGATAGATGGCGATGCGTGAGCTCGATACGGCCAGTACTAACGGGCTGCGGACCGGCCGATTTGCATGATTTATCGAACCGCCGCGCACCGACGTATTGGCAGCTGCGAGCGCCGGCCAAGATACACGTGCGGCAGTTACTATCAGTAAGGTAGGAAACGAAAACAATAAACGACTAGTAGCCGAAAAACGTTCCTACCTTGTAATGTCTAGTCGTAAAAGCTTAAAATCATATACTATCAGTAAGCGGTATAAATTCCGGCCCGCCCCGGGCGCCGGGTCACGGCACTCCCCTCCGTCCCCCGCCCCTTCCCTGAGACTGCGTGAACCGGCCCGTGTGGCGAGACATTATTTCCACCATTCAGCTGTCATAACGTGCGTTTGTAAAGCACACTTTGTAAAGTCAATGAGTGAACTGACATGTGCGCCTCCCATTCGGCGGAATTTGCCGCCGCCGGTGTTTCCGAGGGGCCGGCCGCGCTCGTAAAACAATACACTTTATGGCCGTGTGACGGTGCCGCCCGGACAGCGTCACACAGTCATGACGCACGGAACGCGCCGCGAGTGACACCGGAGTGGGCTCGTTCCCGACGCCGAATTCACAAAAATGGCCCTGGCACGCCGGTGGGCGGTGTTACAGGTAATAGCTTGCATGTTGCATATATACCTACCCAACTGCAAGCCTGCTATCCGTTAATATAAGAATGGCGATTTTAAAAATAAAAGAATGGCGATTTTCAAGTGTCATATGATGTTAAACATACATCCACCAGCGCCACGGTATAATTCCGCAATGTTTTGCCGCTCTGTACCCCGTGCAGTCGGTGGTCGGCTCTGCGGTCTGCCTGCGGTCCGCGCCGGCAGACGGACCAAAGAGGCCGACACCGGCCATCGCGGCGCGCCACAGCGCCACATCTGTCTGATACGGGCCGCCCGCTGGTGGCGACTGCCAGCGCGCCGCGGGACCGCCGCCGCAGCGCCGTAACTGGCGCGCCGACAGCTTGCAGCGCCGCGCCGCCGCCACATATTAATAACAAATCGCCAATCGAATTTGCATAGCGGGCCAGTTAGTGAAGCGTCGGCGGCGGCGCGGCGGCGCGGGCGGCGCTGGCGGCGGCGGCGGGGACGCGGCGGCGACCCCGCCACTGTGCTCGTGACGGCTGACGGACAGGCGATATTATCAGCCGCCGGACCGGGGAGGGGCCGCCGAGCGCCGGGACCGGACACCCGCGGACCCGGGCCGGGGTCGCCGAGCCCTGCCGCGGGACCGGGCGACCCCAGCACACCCACCGACCGCTGAGTCGCCGGAGGGCCGCGGGTCGGGGCAGAGCGCCGGTCCCGCTGTCCCGCTCTCTCCCGTCCCCTGCTGTCTCCTGTCCCCCCGTCACTGCTGGTGGGCACCCACCCGTGCGTGTGGCGCGGTTCAACAATGTATCGCACCATTTTCGAGTTGGCTGGCCCCATTGTGCGCCGCGGGCGGCAGGTGGTCGCGTTTTTAGCCGCGCTCCCCCCGCCGCCGCTCCACCGCCGTGACGTATATCAATAGCTATCGGAGCAGCCGCCGGCGGCCGCGGCTCGCAGCTCCGGCAGTCTAGCGAGGCGCGTCTTCCCCCGGTGGAGGAGACTGAGCCCGTCTCCGGCTCTGGCGGCTCCAGCCTCCGCAGTTGGTCTGCGGGCTGTCCGAGCGCTGCGGTCCTGCCGGCCGCGGCTCGGCGGAGGAGCGCGGCGCACGGCCTTCCAGTCCGGCAGACGCCGAGTCTGATATCAGCCGTATATTCAGCCGATGCAGGGAGGCCGGAATATCTAATGGCGCCGGTCGGCTGCAGCCGGCGATAACTCATCCCGCCGGCCGGGCAGTGCCGGCCGCGCGGCGGTTAAAATCGCAAAGCACCGTCAAGAACAAGGGAAACTATTTTAACAAGCGCTGATTGCGGCGATGCGGCGGTGGAGGCCGTGTCGCGGCTACCGGTCACTGCCGGCCGCGCTAGGGTCGTGCGCGTGCGTCCCCGCCCGATGGCTGACCCGATAGCACGGCCCGGAGCCGTGTCCGGCAGGGGTGCCACCCGTGACTGGGCAAGGCACCACCTGCCGCGGCCGCGCGGACGGTCGCACGGACTGACAGCCCCGTCACAGGGACTGACGGGACGGTCACAGGGGCTGGCGGGCCGGTCACAGGGACTGACGGGACGGTCACAGGGGCTGGCGGGACGGTCACAGGGACTGGCGGGACGGTAGGCAAGGAAGGGCGACGGAGGCGGAGCATTTATCGCCAGCTCGGCCCCGTCAGTCAGCCAGCGAGACCCCCATGCTCGTGAATCTGCCAGCGTTGTGTGGTTTCACAAGAGGAGCTTCAGGCTTTTTACGACTCGACAGTCTTCTTTGATGGTGGCGGTGTTTTATTCCGTGCCACTGACAACGATCTTCATATGACGGACAGGCATACCCGCCTGCATTTCATCGTTGACGTTCGCTCTGCAAATCAGCTGTGGCGTCGTTACCTTATCGGGGATTTTCTTTGAAAGACCACCGAGGGCATGCGTAGGCGTTTCGCTTTGGATTATTGTATTTTCTGGTATTTCCGACCAAAAATGGCCGCATCTATGAATCTATTTAAGGCTCCCATCCATCCCTCCGACCATCCACCTGAGCCGCGTTACCGCAAATAGGCGAATCCATTGTCGGATTTCCCACCGGCTCCGTCCCGGCGTTCTCGCCGTCCCAAAACACACCGGTGCGCCGGCGCAGGCCGGTTTGTATTCATTGCGCCCTGCAGCTAATTTAGCGGTGCTGTATCCGAGTGGCATGGCGCAAGCGCAGGGTTATGGAATACATCAGCTGTCCTGGGCGTCACATAACGTCGGAGCTGTAGTTAACGGTGAATATGTCGTGTGAAACCGGGCGGCGGCCGCAGCTCCCCTCTGAGAGCGGGCTGGGTGTTCACTGCTCACCGTTCCGGACCGGACTCGTGTCATGTCGGCCGGCCGTTAGACCACCGATTATCGGGAGGGTGCCGGGACCCGTGTGGAGCTCTCGGTGAGTGTGAACACGACCCCTGGTCCCCCAGGCCAGCACCAGGGTCTCACCAGGCCAGCACTGCAGGGTTCCAACACGGTGCGGGTCCGCTACGGCGAGTTAGGACCAACCGGCCCCGGGTGCCGCCACGACCAGTCGCTCTCAACACTGTCACAAAATCCGGCCTGGACCACGGAACTCTTCTATTGTCACAACTCGAAGGATCATAGAGTTGGATTCAAAGAGGTGAATTTAATCCTGACGTTGTCAAAGCTGGCTGACACCGGCACAAAATCAATCCTCCCTATTGACACCCAGCCCTGACGGGACTGCCGCTCAAACAACTAAAGTAAGTAACCCATTCAAACTCTCGGGGCAGCTAGCTGAATATTTACATGCAAAAGCTAACCGTTAGAGATCGAGAGTTCAGCGCGTTCAAGCCCATGATAAGGTCACATAGTCTACACGCCTGGGCTCCTGTTCTCTGATGCGGAGCCGAACATTGAGAGTGGCTTCATCCGGAGACTGGCTGATTTGTCCGATAGCATCTGTCCTTGTACGGCCGAGCGACTGACGGACGGCGTGACCAAGGACCAGTCAATAGCCGCAGTCCAGTCAGTCGCCCCCGTCCAGTCCAGCCGCCGTCACAGTCACGGTTGTCGGTCGGTGGACGGACAGCCTCTCTCTCTCCGCTCGACCGCCGCTCGGTAGGTTTAACCGTCTGCCGGCGCCCCGTGATCCGTGCGCCGGTCACGGCGGACCGCCGCTCGTGACCCGGGGTCCCCGTGTCGCCGGGACGCGCCACGCACCGCCACGTCGCCACACAGCGGCGGTGTGTCGCGATATACGGCCGCGCGCCGGGTCCGCCGTCATGCCGTGGCGCGCCGGCATTGTCAAGACCCGGCTAATGACGCCGAATTTGTCTCATTATCAGCCATTCGTCTGCAGTTTATGCATCCGTGCAGAATTGCACGCGGAGTCGGTAAATCGTGAATGCAGACGGTCGGCCTGTCGCGGCAGCGCGAGTTGTGGCCATCTGGCTGGCAGTGGCAGTGGCGCCGGACGGGGTCCGGGTGGGCGGTGGACGGGGCCCGGGTGGGCGGTGGACGGGGCCCGGGTGAGCGCCGGATGGGGCCCGGGTGGGCGGTGGACGGGGCCCGGATGTGCGGTGGACGGGGCCCGGGTGGGCGGTGGACGGGGCCCGGGTGGGCGGTGGACGGGGCCCGAGTGGGCGCCGAGACTGCCGGCAGGGTGTGTTGAGGAGGCGGCGAAGGTGGTGGAACCTCAGGTGGAAGCCCAGGTGGAAGGGTTGCGTCACATCGGTACGGAGGAGGCGGAAAGTAGATTGGAATCTCCGATCACCCTCGTATCGTATGCTAATCGTCAGCCGGCGTGGGCTCGTCAGCCGGCGCTGTAACTCCTCCGCCGGCACTGCGGCTGGGCCGCGCGAACCGAGGGAGGCGCAGCTGATCGGAAGGGACTCGCCGTCTCCACGGGCCGCCAGGAAACGATCGGCACGACCGGTGCCGAATTACCGCCGATCGGCCCAAACCAGTTCTGGCTCAATCGGCGGCCGTTCAACCACCGCGCTCCGGTGCCATTCGTGTTTGTCGGAGAGCGAGCGCCGCCGCCGGGCTGGCCGCCGGAACCCGGCCGATTGTTCCTTTGTTGTCTTCTCTCGGCGGGTTCACTTCCTTCATTCATCCCGCTGGTGACGCCGACCGGTCCCCGTTCCTGGCGCTTTAATAGTTCATCTAATTGGCCGCGGGGATCGGGGAACAATCTGATTCACGCCGGCTATGCCCGGTCGGCGCTGCCTCTGAGGTTCACCAGCTCTGGTCGGCAGCTACCTCTGAGATTTCCTACCTCCGGTCGGCAGCTACAGATGGACTGGACCGCATCTCACCACCGACCGAGGGCATCTCAAGAGACTCACTGATCACTCCGTACCTCTAACACATGGCGGTCGCGGTGGTCGGCTGTTGCATGTTGCAAACAGCAACGTATCAGAGAGGCTTCATCAGGAGCGATATAATCTGCTAGTGATGTCACGGACGACGGTCGTTATCTGACAGACTTGGGAGATCTCGGAGCTCTAAATAGGCACACAAACGGATCAATCTCTCCCGTCAAATATTGGCTCCGTGACACCGGGAGCCCATTAGGTGGGCTGTTATCACCGGGTATCCATGGACTGACGATCAGAGACTCTGTCCACTCCATTATGTCACTGATCCGCGCCGGGTGGCCGGAAGTAGTGGCCGATGTGGCCGGCGGTCAGCGGTGCCCGGCGCGGTGCTCCCCGGCCGGCCGCTCAGCCGCCGGGACCGTCCGACCGTCCGGCCGGCCGCCGGGCGGAGTCGGCCCCGGCTGATGGACGGGCGGGGCGGAGACCGCCCGTTCGCGACCGGATTCCGCATTAATCACCGGCCGCGCGCGCTAAAACTATGCGCCAAAGACAAAATATCGCGCACTGATGGATGGGGGCCGGCCGGCCGGCCACCGCGCCGGCTGAAGGGTTAGGCCCGTAATCAGGGGCCGGGCCGGCGCGGCGCGACGGGGCGCTGCCGAGCGCCGCGCCGCGCCCGCCCGTCCGTCCACCAGCTAAAAATGTCCCTGTCCGAACGGTATCCCAAGTATGCGGTTCCTGTCGCAAAAGGCGGGTCCCAGGTGAGGTAATGTCTCGAGTGGCGCGGCCCGGACGGTCCCAGGGCCGGGCGGCGGCTCACGGTCAGCTCGGGGCGGCTCACGGTCGGCTCGCGGTCGGCTCGGAGAGACTGGGGCACCTCCGTCTGCCGGCTGTCGCCCGCGCAGCTCGCGACTGACGTCCGCCGATAAACGGCGCAATTTCCGCCACTGCGCCGCCAGCCAGAGCCCGGCGGCGGCGGCGGCGGGGGCGGGGGCGGGGGCGGCCAACTGGAGTCAACGACAATCGTATCCGGGGTTGATGAGACCGGCCGCGCGGCGCCCCGCCGCCGACCGGCTGTTTATGGTGCTTCCATGCCGGCGCTTTTTACGATCCATCGGAAAATGGTGCAGACAGATCGCACAAAGGCAGTCACCTGGCCTTCCTGCCATTCAACAACAATTATGCAACATTACGCCACTGAGAGCGTACTTTTCGGCTGCAATATTCCCTACGTAATTGTCTCTGTCCGACCGGCGTACCGAACAATTAGGTAAACGATGTTCACACTAAAAGGATTCACCTTGAAATTTATGAAGGCAATTTACAAATAATTGTATGATAAATCGTTTCTGTTTCGCCGCTTTCAATGGGGGAACAAGCGATTATACCCGGCGAAATAGGCGTTTTATTTATACTGAAACCAGTAAATAATTTTCCCGTCGGGGAATGAAATGACCTAGTTGACAGGCGTCTGCTCGTTGCAAGGAAGTCATATCATCAAGAGAGCACACATAGTGCGGCTGACGCTGGCTGACGGATATGCGATATCCCGCCGTGGAGGGGGGAGGGGTGTCGTTCCCAGGCAGCCCGCAGCCGTCCGTTCCGCCGGCCGGGGTACGTTTTTTATGTCCGTTCAGTCACAGTGGGCGCCCCGGCCGCCATCAGTCATGCCGGCGATCTGTTTTGGCCGGCTGGCTCCGGCGGCGGCGGCGGCGGCGCGTCGCGGCCCGCCGGGCCTCGGGTCGGCCCTGGCCGACCGGCACCCGTTGCGTGTCGGCGGGCGGACCTCCTAATTTCGAGGAGCCGGCGCGCCGGTGGCGGCGCGGGGCCGGCCGCCGCCGGTCCACCCAGTGGCCGGTCGGCCGGCCGCAATGGGGCGCCGGCACGCGAGAGAAACCGGCCGCGCCGTTCGACCACCGGATAACTAGACGTTTCACACATCTTGCTGCTTTATGGAGGCGGTCTGCCGGCCGGTGCCGGTCTCAAATTGCAGTCATCCCGTGCCGCGCCGCCGCGCCGGCCGCATTGCTCCGGCCGAGAGGAAATTATGCAGTTCCGCTGGCGGTGTTGCATGACGCAGGGAAAAAGCCAGCCCCTTACGAGCTGGTAGGAGTTGCATAACCGTTTAAAGGCCAACCTATTAACGACCTTCTCTTTATATTACCGTTCTCATACCAATAGCGTTCGTTGTGGGTTACCGGTTCGCCTTTGGCCGTCCGGAAACGAACCGATCGCGGCCACCTGTGGCAATGTCATCAGTGTATCCAGGTGTTGTTCGAGTCTGTCAGTCGGTCTTTGTACAGGCGAATCAAAACACGCCGGCGCCAGCACTTGTGTACACATGTACTACTTGTCAGGGACTGTGCTTCTCTGTTTATGGATGCACTGCGACATCGTGGGGAGCGGACAGTTGCGTTTAAGCCTCGGCACATTGACATCAATTCGTTTAGTATCTTCTACAAATGGTGCCAGTGGCGGATCCAGGGGGCGGGGGCAAAATGGGCATTTGCCCCTCCCAAACGGCATAATTTTAACATTACGCCTATGGACGAGGCATGGAAAGAATCGATAAATTGTTATGGTTTGCCCCCCCCCCCCAAAAAAAAAACTCTGAGCTGGATCCGCCACTGAATGGTGCCGCTGTGTCCGATGACCGTGCATCGTGCTGACCGTGCCCCGTCCTCGCGCTGACCGTCCCCTCGTTCTCCTGCTGACCGCCCTGCCCGTGTGCCCGCCCCGCTGACCGTGTCTCCGTGCTGACTGTGCTGACTGCTGACCTCCCCCGTCCTCCGGCAGCCGACTCTGTGATCCACGGCGAGGACGAAGAGGAGGAAGAGGACTTCACCGCCGGCGGAGACGCCATCAACACGCCCTCGCTGCCAGCCATCGAGCTCGACGCGCCCGCCGTCAAGCTGGAGACCAACAACAACCTGGTGTCGACGCCGGTGTCGGCGCCGGCCGGCGGCGGCGACCCGCTCAGCGAGAAGGCGGCCTCGGTGGGCGCGCCCGACTCCGTGGTCGACTCGGACAAGCACGAGTCGGACCCGGGCTCGGACGCCGAGATGGACGCCGCGCGGGACGCCCAAACCGACGGCAAGACCGCCGACGACGACAAGGTGGGCGGCAACAAGCGGCGCGGCCCGCGCACCACCATCAAGGCCAAGCAGCTCGAGGTGCTCAAGGCGGCCTTCAACGCCACGCCCAAGCCGACGCGGCACATCCGCGAGCAGCTGGCCAAGGAGACCGGCCTGCCCATGAGGGTGATCCAGGTGAGTGACACGCCGCTGCCGCGGAGGGAAGGGCGCTCGGAGCGCGGACTGCCGCGCTGGTGTGTCGGGTGTGTGCCGAGCTGTGTCCGGTCCTCGCACTCCGTGTTTGCCAGGATCCTTTACGGGCGTCCGATGGCGATCGCTGTCCATACACTGCCGAGGCGGCTCGCTCCACCATGCCATTACCGCCTCTGAATGGCCCCCGTTCGCCACGTCCCATACGTGCACATCGAATGCAAACAGACATTCCCCGATCCATTCGCCAGGGTCCTGTCGCATTGACGGCTGGCTGTGACGGCTCGGGCGGGTGCCGTCAATGATTCGGCACCGTCAGCACCAGGTCACGACGGCGCGCCAGCCGCGTCATGCGCGTCACCGGCGCGCTGCTTTTTGTCGCGGCGCGCCGCTTACGGCAGCATGTCGCCGCCGTTGTGACCCTCCGCAGGGGGTGTGTTTTTGCGCGCGCTGGCCGGCGCGGCGGTCACGTCTGCTCGACTCCGGTTTCTGACAGCGTCACCGGAGTGGCCAGATAAGAGCCGGGCCGCGGCGGCCGGCCCCGGGAGACGGCGGGGGAGTTCGGCCTCACCTCCCGGCGCGCCGCGGCGGAGGCCGGCTCGATCGCCGCCCCAGATTGCATTGTGACCAACAGCTGCAACGCGAGCGGGCCATTACGGATCGGCGGCGGCCATCTGGTCGGCGACGGACGCGCCCGATCGGCGGCCGCCCTTTGGCACCGCCGATCAATTACCGGCGCCGGCACCGGGCGCTGTCCGCTGTCCGGCCGCTGGCTGTCCTGCTGTCTGTCCGCTGTCCTGCTGTCTGTCCGCTGTCCTGCTGTCTGTCTGATTGTTCAACTGTACCGTTACAGGGACCTTTAAGAGCCGCCGCACATGTCCGTGGCTGCCCCCTCGCGTTGGCCGCAGCTCTGTTCGGAACACGTGTCTGTTCCGAGGGAGACGGGTTCGGAGGCCCCGGGCGATGCCAGGGAGGCGGATCATGAGCTTGATCTCGTATCAAACGTGAATCAGCCTTACGAGCTCAGGTTTTGAGACGGACCCGACGGCGCCGCGGCCGATTGTCATAAATTGGTGCGGGGCGGGGCGGCGGCCGGCGGACCGGGCTGGGAACGTCGCCGGCCGACCGCCTCCGCGCGCCGCACCGCGCCTAAATCAGCCGGCCGTTGCATAAGATCGGACAGGGGGCGGCGCCGACCGCGGTGGGAGGAGACTCGGGCGGCGGCGGTGGAATTCGCGCCGCGCACGCCCTGCCGCCCCCTCCCGCGATCGGCCGCTGGCCGCCGCCCCTGCCCTGAGAGCCGCGCGGCTCCGCGGCGTCTGCCGCTGCACGGAGCCGCCGTGACCGATCCCCTGACATTTTATACACGGCGCGTAAATTCCGACATGGATTCCTGCGCAATCGGCGCCCAGATCGTGTATCTGACGGTCTGATAAGATCCCGGGATTTTTCTCCTGTCGGGCGGCTATTCAGGTGGGGGCTCGGCGCGCCGGCCGGCCCAGCTGCGACACCTAGTTATCTCGCGCATCGGCCGCCGCCACCGCGCAGAAAACAAATGTTAGCCTTTCCCGGCGGCAGCGCGGCCATTTTTTCGTGTGGCGCGCGCGGCGGGGGGCGTGCCGCGGCCTTTCTGACTTTTGCGGCGGTTATTCGGCGTTGTCGCACCTGGCCGGTCGGCGCTGTATCGTATCTCTCCATCGAGCGGCCGAGCGCGTCCGCCGAAAAAAGGCCCGTCTATCGGGCACAAACAGTCGCGCCGCGCTCCTAATTTATAACGTTTTTATTTATGCACGCCCGGTATCTGATTGCGGCGGCGGCGCTGCTCGCTGGAGACGGTAAATCGCCCCGTCATGACGCCCGTCCGACCACACCGCCGCGCCGGCGAACTAATCACGCATTCCGCAAATTAATGTGACGCCGCCGCCGCTAGATCTGCCTCGACCACACTCGCCCGCCGGCGGCGACCGGGGTCGGCGAGTCGAGCCGCGTCGGTCGCACGCCTACAGGTACACGGTACATACCAGCAGCTGCCGGGGCGGACCGCTCTGTCCCGGGCGGCATGAGTCGCTGTTTCGAGCCGGCGAGATCCGACCCAGTGGGAGAGCTGCCAACACAGCGATGAGCGGCGGACGGCGGTGTCCGCAGCACGCTCCACCATGCCGACAGGAGCCGCGTTGGTACCGCGCAGACCGGTGGGCTAACTCGGCCTTCCAGCCGTGTCAATGCCTGCTCCAAACAGGATTAAAGCGCAATGATGCATCGCAAAGCCAAATCGGATCTTGTCCCGGATGTCGGGAAGGCATCGCTCGGCTGAGCTGTCTCGTCCGGCTGAGCTCCGTCAGCTCGGCCCGTCAGTCTGCTGAGCAGTCCGCAGTCAGTCTCCGGAGCAGTCCGTGGTCAGTCTCCGGAGCAGTCCGTGGTCAGTCTCCGGAGCAGTCCGTGGTCAGTCTCCGGAGCAGTCAGTCGGCCCAGTCTGTCGGTGTCTGTTAGCCGGCCGTCTCGGGCTGACGCCGCCGGCGGCGCTGACGCTGCTGACGGCGCGTCAGACGGAGGGTCAGCTGTCTGACGGACACACCTCAGACGGAAGGTCGGCTGTCTGACGGACACACCTCGGCCCGGCCCTCCGCGGTGCGCCCGACGCCTGAACGACAGCCGTCCGTTTTTGCCGCCGTTCTTGTCGGCGTCGACGGGTGCTGCTCGGACGGAGGATCCGCCGGGCGCGCGGCTTCTTTACGTCCGAGCACGCCGCCGCCGGCACTCCGCCGGTCACGCTCCTCACCGGGCCGTTAAGTCAGCTCATTTTTATGCGCTGGCATAAATTCGCCCGTCCGAGTTTTGACATATGTACTGCGCCCTTGCACTTGCGAAGTGCACGTCTGCTCTGGGTTTGCTGCACATTGCCATAGCTCATAAAGGTATTCGGCGGAGGAGGGCCGCGATGTGGCGCTTCTCCCGGCCTTTTCCCGCTGGTCGTTGGCGGCGGAGCCGGGGACGGAGACGGGCGTCCGGACGGGCTGCTGATCGGGCGCCCGGACTGGCTGGTGACCCCTGCCCGGGAGGCCGACCGGGCGCCATTTTCCGTCGTCGTCCCTCCCACCGGGGGCGCTGCGTGCAGAGGTCGCCGTGCAGGGCGGTGGTCGGGACACAGACGACCGGCGCCGTAACGCCCCGGCCGGCCGTCCCGGCACGACTCGAGCGGTCGCGGCGCGGTGCAGAGGCCAGAGCAGCCGCCGGCCATCCCGCAGATCTTCTCACGGCAGCCAGACCCTGATATAGGCACTCCGAGCGGCGCGCCGAAATTACGCCCTTATAGCGGCCAAATGACCAACTATACAGAGCTCAAATTAGTAGGGAGTGCCTACTGTTATAGGCCCGGGTACAGCCGTTATCATGCGATGTTTGTTTGTCACGTGTAGTTCTTTTTTATCAAAATATTTAACTTAAGTTTTTGCTCTCCTAATCAATAATCATCCATTGAACATTTTCAGAATTTTGCTCACAAATACCCAAATAGTGATGATTTTCTAACCGTTTTCGTCCACTGGTCGAGTAATTCATATCGGCCAGTTCTCCGCCACTCCGCAGAGCGACTGTCGTGCTCCGTCCTGCTCGGCCGCCGTGCTCCTCCGAGCCGTGCTTTATCGCCAGGAACAATAGTCTCACAGTTGATTGAGCGGTGCGCTCGGCGGCCAGCCGCGCAGAATAGAGCCATCTCGCGCGCGCGGCGGCCGCTATCGCGCCATCGGTCGGCGCGCGATGATACGGCGCGGCTCGTTCCGCGCGGGACGGGCCGACTTTGTCCGGCGGCAGGACGACAAAAAATGACACGGCGACATGACACGGACACGGCGACACGACGCGGACACGGCTCCCGGCGGCCGCGCGGCGGCGGGTCGGCCGGCCGCGCCGCCTGACCCGCGCCGTGAAAAGGCGACCCTGAGGGTGCTGCCCAGTCGAGTGTGAGACCGATAGGGGCCGTGTGTCGGAGGGGCGCCGGCGCCCGCTCCCCGCCGTGAGGTGACAGGTCCGGCCGGCCCTGAAACGGGGACCCAATAGGGGAACTAAGCCCAGCGGGAAACTGCCAGCGGGAAACTGCCAGCGGGAAACAGCGGGCCTAACACAGTGTGTCAGCTGCATACCACCGCCCAGCAATGCCTGCTGCTGTTGAAAATAGCCACCAATTCACCCCGCTTCATCCTGACAACAGGAGCGACTGGAACGAGTCGTCAGCGTTCCTTCCAATAGCATGACTCTCACCAATCACTCTGCTCACCTCAAGTGTCCGTCACGCCGTCCTCGGCTGGTCGAACACGACCGGACAGGGGTGGCGATTACTGCGGCTGGGCCGTCGGCAGCCGGCGCCGCACGCACCCGCCGCCGGTTGACCGCAGACCGCAGCCTCGTCACCCCGACACCGCGGAGGGCGGCGCGTGGGAGGGGCGAGGGGGGGGGACAGTGCCGTGTGCGGTCCCTGGGTGGGGTCCCGTGTGTGAGATGCGAGGTGTCTCGAACTGTCCACGAGGTGTGATAGCTGTGCGGGAGATGTGAGGTGTGAGCTCTGCGTCTCTGTGAGGTGTGAGATTTGTGCGAGAGCTGTGAGGTGTGTGTGCCGCCGCGGACAGCCGCTCCGCCGGCGGCGGCGGATGTCGTCCGTCTCTGGCGTCGAGTCGGCGGATTCACAGTCGGCCAGTGCCGATTTATGGGACGGCCCGGGCCGCGGCGCGTTGATCAGTGGCGGCCGCCGCGCCGACGGCCGCTCTGGTGTGGTCTGGGCCGCCGCGGCCGGAGAGATAGGTGACACTGTGGCGACTCCCACCCACCGCGGCTCCCCGCGCTGACTCAGCGGCCGCCTGACTCACCGTCTGTGAGTCGGAGGGCCAGTGACGCTCACACTCCCCTGACCCGGTGACCTCAGCTCGGCCAGGTGTGCCTCCCCAGCCCCCGCTGACCTCACTCCCTCCGTCCACAGGTGTGGTTCCAGAACAAACGCAGCAAGGAGCGCCGCATGAAGCAGCTCTCCTCGATGGGCATGCGCGCGCACATGTTCGGCAACCCGCGCAAGCTGCGCGGCATGCGCATGTCGCCCAGCATGGACGAGTTCCCGTTCTACGCGGACGGCCAGTTCTACGGCCACCAGCCGTTCAACGAGTTCTTCCCGGGCGGGCCCAACCCGGGCATGGGCTTCCCGCCGGGAGGTGAGTGTGCAGCACGCGCTGTCTCTGGGAGGAACACAGCGGGCGCCGCCGCGCGCGCGCCGCCAACAATAGAGCCGCGTGGGCGGAGCTGAATGCAGCGCTGGCTAACGCGGCACAATGGCACGGGCGCGCCGCCGGTGACTCGGCACACGTGTCAGAAGCTGGCGATACATGCTGCAGATTAATAGGGGAGAGCGGGGCCAGTTGAACCACTTTTTATATATTGACATGCACAGCGAGATCTAGTTGTCATATCAAAAAATGCATAATACCATGAAAAAATATGCTCTTTTGGCTTTATTTTACGATATGTAAAATTATGTTTCAAACATATTTTGCTGCCAAGCGCATGCTTATAAAACAGCTCTACGCCCGTTTCAAATGACCCCGATGCGAGGGTCAATTGAACCAGCCCATGGGGTCAATTGCACCTATCCTTAACAATGGGATGTTTTCCTCTTTAGGGCCACTTTCTTAAGGAGATATTTTGTCCGGTTTACTTTTCCAAATGCTACATTCAATAGGTCGTTGGAAAGCTAAAAGTGCAAAGTTCCTCATAATAGGTGACATAAAGTACATAGACTATGGTAAAATGGGCGGATGAGGAAAATGAGAAATATCTCAGGCTATAGTGTGCTTTCAAGCAAAAGGCTGGAGAAAAAGGGGTCAAAAATTGAGCTCTATTAAACTACTATTTCAGTTTAAAAGCTCATTTCAAAGGTGGACTATTTCCTTTAATGTTTACAGCCCCTGAACAATAACCATTGCAAAGGTCACCGGGGTCCATTGAAACGGATTGTGGCCCTGTTTCAACTGACCCTCAGAGAAGCGTTTCAATTGACCCCATCCGCTCCCGCCATCTCGCACGCGCCGTAAAGCACATGTCAAACGAGCTGGAGGGACGGCATCATGCTGAATGAAGGGCCAAATAAGGTGTTATTCCGGAGCCAGGAGTTCTTCTTTCAGCAAACAAAGGTATATGAGATATCACAAAATATTCATAGAAACGATTTCTCCCAAACGCCCCTCAAAAACACAAAAACAAGTGTCAAATCAAAATTACCGTCCGTTTGCCGCCCAAACGCCGTTGACAAAGGAAGTGGTCGAGCGCGGATGCGCAGTGGTGTCGGCAACGCCATATGTTGCATACTGTTGAAAATAAAGCCATGTTTCATCTGACCCCGTGTTTCAACTGGCCCCGCTCTCCCCTACTATCAACTTGTATGTTTTATTTTCTTATTTACCACCATTTCTTCTGAACTAATTATCGTACCCTTTGATTGCTATCATTAGACAGTACAGCGGGCGCAGTTCTGCGCTCTCCCGTTAGTCAGTGTGTCGTGTGTGTGCGGAGTTCCGAATATACTGACGGCTGACGGTGCGTCCGCAGGTCCCGGCGTGCCCGTCTCGATGGAGCAGCCGCTGCCGCCCGGCGGGCCGATGGGCGACTTTGGCGGGATGAACGGCATCCCGATGGACCACCCCTTCATGCCGCACGGCGACCTGATGTCGCAGCGCTCCAGTCCCGACAGCGCCGGAAACCTGGTCAACGGCATGCCGCCCGGCCCGCCGCCTCAGGGTGAGTACCGAGTACCGAGTACAGTGCGCCATTGGAGGCCAGACTGCGTACTGGGGGCAGACCGGACCAAAGCAACCAGTGCCATCAATGTGGTTTGCAGCTAAATCGTGCAGAAAATCAATACCTATCAAACACAGACAATCGACAGAAAAGTCAAGTGCTCAGGGGTAAATAAAATCCATTTAAACGACACAGCGCACATTTATGAAGCTTCTCACCAGCTGTTGGGCACTGATTCGGCGGCGCCCAGCGACTGTCCGGCGCCTCGTCCCCGGAGCCGCGCCCACCGGTCTCTCGTGCAGCGTGCAGCCGGCTCACCGCCGGCGCCACCCACTAATGACAGCAATCAGGAAGCCGAAGAAAAGATACCACTTAAATCTAATAAAACTAATTAAAGTTTGATCTGGATCGATTGGGGCCGGTCAGGCGATCCCACCCGGTGCCCTGTGGTTAGTGACGGTCCTGCCGGGGCGCCGGCATGCGATCGTACCCCCCCCCCGTCGCCTCCGCCCCGATCACAGGGGGGGGGGGAGGCTGCGTGTGGGGGAGGGGATATCGATCTCGAGCGATTGATCGAAATTCGCGGCCGTGTCCCGCGGCGGCCCCGCGCAATGGTCGCTCGTCGCGGACGGCCGCCGCTCAGTTTGTAAACGCGGCAGCGCGGAGCCGGCGCGGCACTGGCGCAGAACGGCGCGCCGCGTTGGCCGCCCGGCTGTCGGCCGCGCCACCAGCGCCGCGGAACGGGCGCGGTCGGCGGCCGACAAGTTAATTGGCGCCGCAGCGGCCACCGGCGCGCTCCGATAATGCATGGTGACACGCGTCAAAACGGCCCAATGAATTGTGATGGAGCGCGCGCGGCGGCGCGGCGGGCGAGCCGCCCGCTCGGCCGTCTCGGACTGTCTCCAGCGCGTCACGTTTGTCTCCAGTGGCGGTGATGGGGCGCGGCGGGGGCCGATCGGGCAGCGGAACGCGCGTGCCGCCCACGTGCGGGGCGCCAGGAGGTCCGATCACCGGAGAACAGCCTCTCAGAGCGCGCCGCCGTGCCTCTCGTACCGTGCAGGTCGCTCACTCACCAAACGCGAATATTACCGAGACGTGAACATAACCGCAGCGCGGCGCACCCTCCGTGACAGAGTGTGAACACCTCCGTGACCCATACCGAGCCTGTATGTACCCCCACGCGCGGCGCCGGCGGGTGAGCCGACCGCTCTCCCTCACTGACGACCCCGTCTCTCTCCCCGACAGGTCCCGGCAGCTTCACCGACCACCCGAGCAGCGAGGGCCTCGTCTGGTGACCCGTGCGCCAGTGAGCCGGCCGGCCACGGCCGCCAACACGGCGACACGCACAGTGCAATGTATTGTTAGCGCCGGCCGCGCTCCGGCCTCCCCTCCCTGGGGGCGCCCGCGGTGTCCGGCAGGCGCCCGCGGTCAGACAACGACCCCCCGAGGTCGCACGACGGGGCCGGATCGGCCGGCGGCACCGCGGGCCTCCGAGCAGGCGCTACAGGTGCAGCATTTCTCCTCCGAGTGGCGCGTAGGTCCCAACGTGGGGATTGCGTTGATGTGTTGAATTTGAGTGACATGGTTGATTTGCTGATCTTGTAAAACAGAAAAATATCCCTACATCGGTTGACCTATCTCAAAATAGTAGACCTGACTGGCGCTGCATGAAAATGTGGCGATATTTTTTGTGAAGTGGTCAGAATGTGACCCATCATCCCTTTTACTGAACATTTTACACCCTCGACCTAATGATATGGTTCGCCTGACAATCAACATGTGTGTGTGTGTGTGCGGAAATGTTGCATCTCTAGTAGACGCAGTCTAGTACCTACCAGCGGGGCTGCAGGGCTAAGGTATGGAGTGGCGACCTGCCAGCACTGTCCGAGCTAGTTGGACCGTCTCGGGGCGCTCGGCCGGGACCGGGGACCCGGCGCCGCGCCGCCGCCTGTACTATAAACCCGTGATCTGTACAGCAGGTACCGTGTAAAAGACGAGCGCGCGCGCCCCTGCCAGTGTGCGCCGTGACCGTCTCACTGATGTGATGGTTTGTTTTGAGTGCTTTGTTCGGTGTCCGGCAGACCGGACTGGCGGCAGGACACGATCGGGCGCGGTCGGCGGCCGCAGCGTATATTTAAAGTTTATCTAATGGCGTGGCGTGGTAACTCTATGGTGCATTTGGAGTGAGTGCCAATCTGCGAACAGTGTCTGTTTTGTGCGAGAGAACACGCCGTGTGAATGTGATTAATGTATTTTTGTTGTACATAAGATGTCATTAAATGTTTCTCGTTGTGCAAATAGTGTTTTATTGGGTTAATGACGGCCGAGCACTAGGTCAATAGAGAAAGAGTTTCAGCCGCAGACATATGCAATATGCATTAATGAGATTAGAGGAGGAAGCAATAACAGTTTTTTTCATTTGCCCTTATACATGCCTTTACTGTGGGCATGTAGTCTGCTTAACCCAGAGTTCTAACCAGTCCACTGTCCAGTATCTTCGGGTTGCGTTTTATGCGTGTGTTTTTTTCCGTCCCCCGGACACTGAGAAAGGCACCCCGACTGTGCCAGGGCCCTGTTTCACCGCCCGACGCTGCGCGCGCTGCAGCGCGCTGGGAGGTAAGGCGTACCCCTGACGTCACTCGAATGACGTTGCGTGCGATCCGTTAGCTTATAATGAATCGCGTTTGGAACAGAGGTCCTAAAGAACCAAGTACAGAGAGAACAGAGGTTTGAGTGCAAATGCTGCTAGCGTGCTGATGGTGCTGGCGCTTGGGTGCTAGCGTTCGGCGATGACGTCATAGCGTAGCGTCAGAGGGAAGTTTGTTGATATTGCCATGGAAACCCAACGCGCCGACGCGCGCAGCGCACTGCAGCGCTCCGCCGTGAAACAGGGCCCAAGTACCGGCCCGATCGAGCGGGACCTTGCGGGATCGAGCAGAGCGTCAGTCGATAAGTGTATTAACAAATAAACCCGCTCGTCTAAGATAAAAGACTCGTCACAAACAAGAGGTCGACAATAAATACAACGAGCAGGAAACGTTACCTGGTAACAAACGACACTCAGACCACTCTGTGGCGGGGATGGCCCCTCCCTCTCCCACTTTTTTTTACAAATGTCTTAAAAACGGCGACGCGGAGCGCTTCTGGCACAGCCTATCCGCGGGCATCTTTTTTTCACACAGGTCATGTACTATGTAGGTTGCGGAAATTTTTGCCTTTGGCCATCTAAGGTCAGGTCATTAACCCGCGCCCCGTTGGGCTCTGCCGAGCAACGCGCCCCGTCGGGGGGGGGGGGCATTTTGGCCCCCCTAAGATCTCGAGAACCACGCAACCTAGCGACAAGCGGCAAACGGTGTTGGATAGCCCTATCAGGGAACTACCTAGTGACCCAATTTTATTGACCTAGGTCAAACCGATGAGGTCACAGGTCAGGTCAAAGGTCCAATTTTCACCGTTTACAGGCATTTCAAGAAATGCGTTGTAAAATCGAGTAAAATGCATTTCATTGAAAATCATCGATGGGGAAATGTTCTTCAAACACATATTTTGCTAGCTGAGGTCACTGATACCAGGTCAGGTCACAGAGGTCAGGTCACTGGGGGGTCACAATATGAAAGTGTCGTGTGATATATGTTTTATGGTCCATTTTACATGACAAATGCGATTATGTGGGTCAGGCAGCCTTTAGGCCAGCTTAGGTCACGTTTTCGTCAAGGTCAGGTCAAGGTCAGGTCAAGGTCAGGTCAAATTAGGTCGAATTTCAAAGTTGATATTTTTGCATAAAATGGGTATCAAATCGATGCAGCTCGTCACGGGGAGTTCAATGGTGGTCTTTGTTTTGCCGTACGAGGTCTAGAATCGCTAAAAATTGAGTTCAAAAATTTGACGACATCATTTTTGAACAGTTTTTTTTTTCGCTATAACTTGGCCAAAAAACGAGATATCGATCTGAAAGTTGGTATGTATATAGAAAAGCGCAGGGACTATCACATATATTCCGTTTTTTCGAAATTCGGGAAAAAATTTGGATTTTTTTTAGTTTTTCTAAAAAAAATCAATTTTTTGACATTTTTTGGGTCAAAAACCCAAAATTTTGAAAATCCGAGATAGCAGTTTTGTAGCGTCGCTTTTTGTCTACTAGACCATATAAAGAACTTTGAAATTGCTGGATAACTGTAGATTTGGTGAGCGTTTCAAAATTGCATGTTTCTTGCTCATTTTTGCTCGAACATGACCTCAGTTTGACCTCAATAACTCCTGACCTAAGGTGAGCTAAGACTTGAAATTTGGTGTGAAGGTGTCAAATTGATGCCCGGGAAGGTACTGAAAATTTGGCGCCGCCGTTTTCTTGCTATTCAGGAAAAACCACAGGGGGGGGGGGGGCAAAATGGCCCCCCCCCCCCAACGGGGCGAGGGTTAAGTGAGATCACATCATGAAACCTCATTATAAGAAAAAAAGCTAATCCTGGTCATTGCTGGCTGCTGCATCGACTAAAAGATTTTTTTTTGTTAAGATCCAACGACCAAAAAAGATCACAAAGATCATAGGTAGGTGACGAATAGGCATATCTCGTATTTTGATAGGCATCTGTGGCATAAAGTCAGGTCAATTTTGGGATTCGTTTTTAAGTCAATGGGGAAAATTAGGCTTTTTAGAGGTCGAGTCTATCTGAACATGGTAAAGAAAAGAATGTGAAACACGTTTCTATCGAATAGTTAATTGACAAATGTACTTACCGCGAGCAAACATTTCGGTGCCTTTTAGTTGGCCCATGCTACGTCATCTAAAGATCATCAGCAATTTTGTCATAACTAGTTAGTAGGTAGTTCAAGACAAAGGTGTAGTTCTGTCGCAGCGATTCGATTCCAATGCATTGGATGAGCTTGTGTATAAAACATAGTACGAATAGACCGCCTGATAACGGATAGACTAATAAACATGACCTTCTCCGGTCAGGCTTTTTATAAGCACTGGTTAGTGATTATCCTGGCAGAAGAATATTCAATGCACTGAGGCCAGTTTTAGCAACAAGAAAATCAACGGCAGCGGTTATTTTGCCCAATGCATTCATTCATGCATTCATTCTAACATTAATTAATTAATTCATTTAGTCATTCATTCATTCATTCATTCATTCATTCATTCATTCATTCATTCATTCATTCATCCATTCATTCCTACATTTATTCATATTTATTTCGCACCAAACATTGGCAAATTTCCAGTAGCTGTTAACTAAGTCAGCAGCATTGGGATAAACCGTTGCGTGTCCCCACGGTGCTTAGGTCACAGCCCCCGTCGGGACGCGGCAGGTCAGCAATCGTATGCGATTGATTCGCATCGCCTACTGTAGTAGGCGATGCGAAGCCCAAGAACCGAATGTGGCACCCAAAATTGGCTATCCACGCGGCAAAAATGGCACTGATGTGAAATATAATATCATCAAGCCTAACTGATACGTTTTCACATAATCCGTATTTCTTCGCGTGGTTGGTTTAAACTGTGGGAGACTTGAAGAAATAGAAATACCGGCAACCGGCAACTTTTCTGTTGGCAAAACAGCCCTCTGGTCACTGGTCAGCTGCGATATTAGGTACCAAACGGTTTTGAGAAACGGTGCCTTTGGTGCCTTATTTTTTTAGGTACCTATACTTAAGTCCACATGACGCAGCATGTTATTATTGAATAAAGCTGGAAAAACCAGTAACACAGAACAACAGCATATTTTCTCACAAGGTAAAGTATACATAGATCAATCTTTAAGCACAAAGTTTTGTCGGACAAAATGCGAACCTTTTTTTGGGATCAATACCTACAACCAAAAAGTGAAATCCCAGCTTAGTGGATCGTGAGGCGGAAGTAGGTATCTCTCCAAAATGCTCTCCAGCGTTTGTCAAACAGCATGAAAACACGCCCAGAGGCGCGGGTGTGCCGGCGGCGGCGGCCGGCGGTCTCGGCGGAGGGGAGCGCCGCCGCCGGCAGATTGCCGTATTTCGATCAAAGGCGCGGCACTGGCGGCGGCGGCGGCGGCGGCGGCACTCCCCCGGGAGCCGGACCTGTTATCGACGCCGCCAGCCCCGCCGTCCCCCTGGAACTATCCGGCACCGTTTTATCTGCAGCGACACTGGTCGCCGAATCGACTATTATTCAACGAAAGCGACGCGACCGTATCTGGCGCCTGAACGGCGATTAGGGAATAATAGCGCGCCGGAGGGATTTCACCTCTATTTATTTTCCTCGTACATCATGCTCAAAAAGTCCCCGGGCGGCCGGAGCGCGCTGCCGCCGCCGTGGAACGAATTCACCAGCTGACGACCTGGCCGGCCGGCACAAAGGCCAGTCCGCCCAAATAAAGTCACCGTAATCCCGGCTCGTCGCGGCTTTATGCGTGCCGGCGCCCGGCCGCCGCCGCGCCCCTTCCACAATCATAAAGCGGCCATAAAGGCGGGCGTATTCCGCCGTCGACGCGTGCCCCGCATTCTTCGATTAGTTTCACATTGGTGTCCGGCGGCCGACAATGTCGCCGAATCTTAATAACGCCGCCCGCGGGGCCGGTTCAGCGGGCAGGCGATGGCGCGGCAAAACGCTGCAATATAGCTCGGACTCCGGGACAGTGTGGAGCCGACTTTCAACAGCCCCTCCACAACAGGCGCTGTTCGAGCAGGCGGTCTCTTGACTAAGGTAGACAGACATCGTGCATGATATAGGATCATGCGTCTAGATAATTGCTCTAATTAAGACGGATCGGCATTGTGGTAGCCAGCACAACCTTATATTCTTCGTTTTATGGGCAGGGAAATCTGCAGTATCATTGGCATAACACTGAAATGAAATAATTAAGCTGTGAAGCACACATGATGGCTCACAACAACTTCTTGCATAAATACATGGGGAAACGCCCTGAGCCTGAGAAGTTCGCGGAGACATCGGCGACAGTTTCTGAGGAGTCTGCTTCTGCGACACATTACAAACTGCCGTCTCTAATTGAGACAGCCCATCTCGGCAGCGGCGGCGGACCAACTCCGCCTCCGAACGATGAGCAAACTTGTCCGTGCGGCCCGCGTCGCACCCGCCGGCTGCCCAGGCCGAGATTGTCGCCCGTCGGACAGAGTTCCGAGACAGAGTTTGTCGCCGGACGGCCCGAGTTCAGACAGAGTTCGTGTCCGGACGGACCGAGTTCAGACAGAGTTTCTGTCCGGACGGCCCGAGTTCAGGCGAGTTTGCCGCCTCTCAGCCCGTTCCGCGCGGCCGTCGCCTGCAGTCGACAGCCCCTCGGCCGAGGCGCGGCGCGCGCTCC